GGGAAAATGTGGGAGGAATTAATCTCCTAAATTTCAAGATTTATTATATAGCTACTACAAATTCAGTGTATGAATTTGTGTACCAGTGGGGAGCCTCAGTCTGGCCTGTGGGATCAGGCCAAAACCGGCTCTCCAACATCCCCCGAGGGGTCCCGGATTGCGAGAGGGTGCAGGCCAGGCCGAGGGACCTCACTGGTGCAAGATCGGGGCTGGGGAGGGATGCGAGAGGTTGGCCAGCCAGGGAGGGACCACGGGAAGGTTCCAGGGCATGTCCGGCCTGTCTCACTCAGTCATGATCAGCCGGAACCCAGCAGCAAGCTAACCTACCGGTAGGTGCGTCTGCTCCCTGGTGGCCAGTGCATGCCATAGAGAGCTGTTGAGTGACATTAGTATATTATGCTTTGATTGGTTGAATGGATGACCGGACAACCAGACACAACATATTAGGCTTTTATTATATAGGACACTAATCAATACTGTGTGATATTGGCAGAGGGATAGACACACATATCAATGGAGTAGAATGGAAAACCCGGAAATTGACCCATATGTATATTTCTGATTAATTTTTAAAAAATACATTTTTATTGATTTCAGAGAGGAAGGGAAAGGGAGAGAGAGAGAGAGAGAAATATCAATGATGAGAGAGAATCATTGATTGGCTGCCTCTTGCATGCTACTCGCTGGGAATTGAGGCTGCAACACAAGAATGTGCCCTGACTGGAATTCAACCTGTGACCTCTTGCTTTATAGGTTGATGCTCAACCACTAAGCCACGCTAGCTGGGTCGATTTTTGACAAAGATACAAAACCAATTCAATAGAGGAAACATAGCCTTTTCAACTCACGATGCTGGAGTAATAGGAAAAACAAATAAGCAAACAAAAACTTGACCTGTCTTACTTCTTACACAAACACTAGAGGCCTGATGGTGCGTGATATTCGTGCAAGGGGCATGGCCCTCGCAGCTGAGGTGGCTGCCTGCCTCTGCCCTTGTAGCCCCGGCTTCATCCAGAAGGTCATCCTGACAGCCATTCCTCTGTTAGGCTGTCTGGTCTAATTACCATATTACGCTTTTAATATTATAGATTAACTGAAAATATGTCCTGAACTTAAATACAGACCTTAAAGCTATAAAACTTTTATGAGAAAAGTATAAAATCTTCAGGATCTTGAGCTAGGCAAAGCATTTTTCTCATTATACCAAAAGCATTGTCCATCAAAGGGGGAAAAATGATAAATTGAACTTTATAAAAATTGAAAGCTTCATCAAATTAAAATTAATTATAACAATTAAAAACTTTTTAGGAGAATGAAAAGACAAGCCACAGACTTGGAGAAAATATTTGCAAACCATATATCTGACAAAAGACTGGTGTTAAGAATATAAACTTTCAAAACTCTACAGGAAAAAAATAAATCCAATTAGAAAATAGGCAAAAGGCATGAAGAAACATGTCCTGGGAGTGAACACTACAGATATAAAATAAGCACATGAGAAGATATTTGACATCATTAATCATTAGAGAACAGCAGAATGGCTACAATAAAAACTAGCAACACCACCACACTCTGGCAAGCTCAGATTGGCTCACTCAAGCATTGCTGGTGGGGATGTGAAACGGTGCAGCCTTTCTGTAAAACAGTTTGGCAGGTTTTTAAAGAAAACTTAACATACGACTGCCATACATCCCAGCAGTTGCACTCCTGGGCATTTATCCCAGAGAAAGGAAAACTTACGTTCACACAAAAACCTGTATATGAATGTTTAGAACAGCTTTATTCATGATAACCCCAAACTGGAAATGTCACATTGTCCTTCAATGAATGAATGGTTAAAGGATTCATACCATTGAACACTACTCAACAATAAAAATGAATGAACTATTGATACACACACCAACCTGGATGAATGTCCAGATACTTATGTTGAATGTATGATTTCATTTGTATAGTATTCTTAAAATGACAATATTATAGAAATTGTGAATACATTAAAGCTTTTCGGGTTTTTTTTTAAAAAAATATTTTCAATATAGTTTTTATTTAATATTATTCTGTATTAGTTTTAGGTGTAAAGTACAGTGGTTAGACAATTATATAATTTCTGAATTGTTCCCCCATTATTTCCAGTACCCACCTTAGCACCATACATAGTTGTCACAATATTATTGACTATATTACCTATGCTGTACTTGCCATCCCATGACTGTTTTTGTCACCACCAGTTTGTACTTCTTTATCCCTTCACCATTTTTACCCAGTCCCCCAATAAGTAGGAGGAGGTATGGGAGGGAAATGGATAGGACTATAAAAAAGGCAACATGAGGGATTCTGATGGTGATGGAAATGTTCTATAGCTTGACTATCAATGTCATTGTCTTGGTACTGATGTGGTATTGTAACTTTGCAAGCTGATGCCTTTCAGGGAAAGTGAGTAAAGAGTACACAGGATGCCCTAGCTAGTTTGTCTCAGTGGATAGAGCATCAATCTGTGGACTGAAGGATCCCAGGTTTGATTCCAGTCAAGGTCACATGCCTGGGTTGCGGGGTCAATCCTCAGTAGGGGGTGTGCAGGAGGCAGCCGATCAATGATTCTCTCTCATCATTGTTGTTTCTCTCTCTTTCTCCCTTCCTCTCTGAAATCAATACAAATATTTAAAAAAAGAGTATATAGGATCTCTCTGTATTAATTTCTCAGAACTATATGTGAGTATACAGTTACCTTTTATTTTAAAAAGAATAGAACCCTCTAATGGATTTTAGATTAAAATCCAAGGCCTTCCCTTAGCCCTTTCCAACCTCATTCACTTCCTACTTCTCTCTCATGCACATCATCCTGCATGCAGACACAGTGGCATTTCTCTCACCACAGAGCCTTGGTAAATAGTCCCCCTTATCCACAGGAGATACATTCTGAGACCCCAAATGGATGCCTGCAACTGTGGATAATACCAAACCCTATATATGCTATGATTTTTCCTATGAGAACATTTAATTTATAAATTATTCACAGTAAGAGATTAGCAACAAAAACTAATGACAAAATAGAGCAATTCTAACACTATATTGTAACAAAAATTATGTGAATGGGCTCTCTCTCTCTCTCTCATAATATCTTATTGAATTGTACTCACGCTTCTTGCAATAATGTGAGATGATATAATGCCCACATGATGAGATAAAGTGACAGAACAGTGTAAAATTTAAAACTTAAAAATTGTTTATTTCTGAAAATTTTTATTTAATATTTTTGGACTGCGGTAGACCACAGGTGACTGAAACCATGAATAGTGAATCCTTGGATAACGGGGGACAGCTGTACTTGCTATTCCCTCCACCTGGGAAGCGCCCCCTCCTGGCTCTGCCTAATCATCCTGGTCTCTGCTTAAGTGTTGCAGTGAACACTTCATTTAAAGTAGCACCTCTCTCACAATCTGCCCTTACCTGGATTTACTTTTCTCTCATTAGAAACTGATTTAATATATATATATATATTTTAAATTTGAAGTTCCTAGGATGAGAACCTTAAATTTCCTACTATCCCTTCTCTTTTCTATGTGTTCTGAATTTGGAGCATTTGATTTGAAAACAGGATGGAATTCCTTCAATAAATTAAAAATGCAACTGCCTGATAACACAGTGATTCCACTTCTAAGAATATACCTGCAAAAAGCTGAAATACTAATTCGAAAGTATATATGCACCCCTATATTCATTGCAGTATTATTTACAACTAGAGGCCCGGTGCACAAATTCTGCACGGGTAGGGTCCCTAGGTCTGACCTGCGATCAGGGCCAATCTTCCCTGGCTGCCAGAAGCTGACCCCACCCCTCTCCTCCACTGGACCTGTCGCCCTCTTTATGTGGAGCAAGCAGTGGGGCGATTGGGGCCCCGCTTGCCCACACCCACCTTGGCCTGGTGCCACCCGCATCTGCCACCACCCACCTCCGGTTCTCCATTCCCCATCTGGTGATTGGAGCCTGCCGGCTAGGGGGAGGGATCGAGAGGTTGGCTGGCAGGCCCTGATCGGGCAATCGGGGCCTGTGGGCTGGGAGCAGCTCCTGTGTTGAGTGTCTGCCCCCTGGTGGTCAGTGTGTGTCATAGCGACCGGTCATTCCGCTGTCCAATTGATTTGCATATTATGCTTTTATTATATAGGATAGCCAAGACTTGGAAGCAGCTCAAGTCTCCATCAGTAGATGAGTGGATACTTTTACACATTGAAATATTATTCAGCCATAAAAAAGAAGGAAATCTTACATTTTGCAACAGCATCGATGGGCTTGGAGAGTATTATGCTAAGTGAAATAAGCCAGTCAGAGAAAGACAAGTACCATATGATTTCACTTATATGTGGAATCTAATGAAAAAAATATAATAATCAAAATATAAACAGACTAAACGATACAGAGAACAGACTGACAGCTTTCAGAGGGGAGGGGGGTTGGGGGGTTGTTGGGTGAACAAGGTGAAGTGATTAAGCAAAAAACAAACAAACAAAAAAACACCCAAAATTCATAGACACAGACAAGAGCATGTTGATTATCAGAGGTAAGGGAGTGGGGGAGGTAGGAGAGGGTAAAGGAGGAATAAAAAGAAGGAATCAATTGTGATGGAAGGAGACTTGACTTGGGGTGGTGAACATACAATGCAATATATAGATGATGTTTTATAGAATTGTACACCAGAAACCTACATAATTTTATTAACCAATGTCACCCCAATAAATTCAATAAAATAAAAAAATTAAGCAAACAAGAAAGACCTATAAAAAAACACACAGATTCTCTGTATTTTCTTTCCTTTTTCCAATGGCTCCTTATATGTCTATGTGAATTTAAGGGTTCTGAAGTACAATGGATGTTCTGTATTCTGTCATGCTTATCCCTGTTCACTGTTATTTTCCTAAATAACTAAAGTTTAAAAGAGTTGGCCTGGACTCCACTTGCTATGAATCTGCCTCTGAATGACTTAGCTCTTCTTAATTCTCTTCTAGACATTTTAATCAGCCCATGGTATAAAGACAAACTTCAAGAGGATCCTTAGAAGTCTTGGACAAGCCTCCCTGTATGTGGCAGGTATGTCTCTGTTTAGACACTGTGCAAGACATGTAACTTTATTCTTCTGTAAATAAATATAAATTATATTTAGATTCTAGAAAGGATATTTAGATTCTCCCTTTAACCATGTGGCAACATTCTGAGATTGCATCTAAGTTCTAGGTGAGTTTATGAGGTACCAAGCTTTTGAGGGATGATGCACCTGCTCCTTGGCTGACTGAATGGAGAAAGAAGCACGATTGAAGGAATTGAAATAAAATACTTCAAATATTATACTCAATATGATAAAAACATTGCCTCTTTTGAGTACCTACCTTGTGACTTTAATCTTTATAATATTCCTGAATCTTTTATATTAAGGGTTTGACATTTGAGGAAATCAGGAGTATTAATTTGCTAGAGCTGCCATAACAAAGTACCACAGACAGGGTGTCTTAAACAACAGGAAATCATTGACTCACTGTTCTGCAGAGTAGACGTCAGAAATCAAGGTGTCAGCAGGGTTGGTTCTTTCTGAGGGCTGAGCGAGAAGAATCTGCTCCAGCCCTTATCCTTGGCTTGAGATGGCATTTTCTCCGTGTCTTTAAATATATTTTTATTGATTTCAGAGAGGAAGGGAGAAGGAGGGATAGAAACATTAATTATGAGAGAGAATCATTGATGGGCTGCCTCCTGCACATTCTCCTCCCCCGCCCCCCACACACTAGAGACCTGACTGGGAATTGAACTGTGACCTCCTGGTTCATAGGTTGATGCTCAACCACCACCGAGTAACACTGGCTGGCTACTCCATGTCTTTACATTGTCTTTCCTCTATGGGTGTCTGTCTCCATGTCCCAATTTCCTCTTTATATAAGGACACCAGTCTTACTGGATTAGGTCCCACACTAATGACCTCTTCTTAGCTAATTATATCTGCAGTAACCCTATTTTCAAAGGTCCATTCTGAGATACCGGATGTTAGGACATCAACATGTGAATTTGGAGAGATCACAATTTAATATATAACACCAGGGTTCAAAGAGGCTCACTGGCTTTAACTCAGACCATGAAATGCCATTGCAGGAATTCTGCATCATAACCACGTGACTCTAGAGTTTGTGTCCTTTATGCTGTACAACACTTCATCTCAGGCGACTCTTGAATGCAGGTCTGTGCAATGAGGGGAATACTGTCTTTCCTTCAGCAACCAAACCAGGCATGGGTCGATTAAGGAAAAGAACTCCTACTTAGACATAAAGTCATGCCATTGCATAAACTCAGAATAGCTCGTCTTACACAAAGGAGAACAGGAACATGTTTGGGAGGAGATCCAATCTACCACATCATACCATAGGTTAGGCAGTGAATTTATACCTAAACTAGAGTTATAGATTATGGCAGGATGCAAATAGGTCTGAAACTACTAAAATGGTGTCAACTTGAGTTTGGTGGTGTTATTCCTACGTCTTGTGGTTGGCATGTTTGGTGCTCTTGACTAGTATTCATATCTAAAGAGGCCCTGTGTATGTGGTCTGCTCATGTAGGGCATATATAAACAATGTGTACTAAAATAACATAGTTAAATCATGCAAAAAAGGGGGAAAATCTCTGCTCTGAAGTTCCTGTAGGCATTTAACTGGATAATGATAATGATAGCTCTACTAAAAAAGGAGAAAATATGTTCAGCTTCAATGAGGATTGTATTTAGGAGAATTGTCAGATTATTTTGGATATTTTCCTTTTTAAAACAATTTTTTATTGCATCCTAATGGGAGATAAGAATTATAATAGTGATTCGGAAAAGTGGCTTTGTGCATATAAACATAATTTGAGTCTTGTAGTAGTCATCACTGTTTTATTCCAGATGGCAAAAAAAAATTATTATTTTTTTCAGTTATTGTCTGAAATATATACCTAAAGAAATAAGTCCCTTATAAGATTTTTCTTGCCAAAATTCTAGTAGATGCTCACTTACCGAGAAATATGTGTACTGCGAAATATTTAAGAAAAATACACTTTAATGAAGCTGTGCTGATGATATTTATTTAGCTAATTGTGTACAGGAATCTAAACATGATTTAACATAGAGTAGACTGTTGGCCATGTAGATAAGCCTCTCACAGGTGTGCAGAGTTTTGAGAATGAGACAGCAGATCTAATGAAAATCAGAGTAAGCCTCTAAGAAATATTTTATTGTAAATCAGATTTCCCATTATAAAACAAGTGCAGCCACATAACAAAAATATTTTAAAATAAGGGTAAAAAGTGCTAACATTACCAGTAAGCAAAAGCGATAAAAGTAACCTTTTGGTATATGTGTTTATCCTCCTTTTTTATTTATTTGTTCGTTTGAGGATTACTGAGCACTTACTCAATGCAGACACTTGGGAAATAAGGAGTACTAGGAAAAGGTTCTTGCCCTGAAGTAACTGTTAAATTACCAGGGGAAACAGATAGTGAAGGAGGCCTTTTAGTAGGTGATAAGTGTCATACTGGAGGATTGTGGGCCAAAGAGCTTACTGTCAACTCTTGTCAGGTAAGCTAGGATAGAAACATGTGAAGAAATCTGTTAGCCAGAAAAGAGAAGAAAATAATTTTGGTTTGAGGAAAGAACATCTGCTAAAGTATGACAGGATTGAAATAACATCATACAGGAACTGTAAATGATGCATCATGGAGAAGTAGGTGGAGGTGACATCATGGAAGGATTAGTGCCAGTTAGCCTATTGGCAAGAAAGTTTTCAAGTAGGGAAAGAATATGTGTAGAATTCTATTTTTGAAAAAAATAATCTTTAGCAATATGATTGACTAGATGGCTTAGAAATTACAGCCCTTAGGAACTAATGGTTTGGTAAGGAGCCGTATCTATCTATATATAAAGAAGCTGTAATGAAGGTTAAATAAATGATGCTTGGCTTGCATGGGCATCTAGCAGCATTTTGGTAGGGATTCTAAAATGAATTCTCATGATTATATATTTTTATAAAATTTTCAAAAAATATGAGTTTTTAACTTCAATCAGCTGTGAGTACTTTCACTTTCTATATCCCTACTCCTCTGGTATGCTTCTCTTACTGTTGGCATTGTGTCAGATTTTGTATTTGCAAGTTTACCTTTTTCTTTTTACTGTAACAGGGACCCCAAATTGCATAAACGTAGGCCTCACTTTGCAGATCCATCTCCAAGATGACATTGCAGCAATTCAAGAGAAATGGCAGGTTCTTAAACCAAGATAGTAGCTGTAGGGATGAAACAGAAAAAGATATGGAAGACTAACGGGGAGGAATTATTGGCTATGCTATTGCGAGGGAAAGGCTAGTTCCAAGATTTCTTATTTCTATAGCTCTGTGAATGGTAGGGCTGCTAACAGGAAAAGAATGGTAGGGGCAGGTCACTATTGTAAATAATAGTTTATTGAACATCTTTACGTGTGTGCATGTTTCATATTTTTGAATTTGCAAAAGTGGATTTACTGTATCACAGTGTATAAGAATTACAATGGATTTTGTTATCTATAACTGAAGTCTTTCTGAGATAGATTATGTCATTAAACACTGCTACAATTAATGTATAAATGAGTTTTCTTGTCTATTCCCACTAGCATTGGGCATTATAATTAGCAAACTAAATTATTGGGTAAAATCAGTATCTCCTTTTCATCTTATTACTCTAAGGGGAGATAAATACGATCCATTATTGTGACCTCTCCATAGGAACCTACTTTCCAGGGGTGGTTTTGTGGTCTTTTCCTGGTAGGGATTTAGGAAGCATTAGAAGTTAGTTGTAAATCTTTTACGTAATTAGTTATGTTATGTACTCCAAATGCATGCATATATACATACAGGGGTGGACAAAAGTAGGTTTACAGTTGTAATACAAATCAAAATACAGTAATTATTAAATAATAATACAAGAATAAACTGTGTTTCATGTATTTAAAACTGTAAACCTACTTTTGCCAACTCCTGTAGATTATAAAACCTAGAAGTAGGTGGGGCTAAAACGGTGCTGTAGATTAGATAGTTTTAGACCATGTATCGGCAATGTTTTTTTCTAATAAGGACCAGATACTAAATATTTTAGGCTTTGTAGGCTAGATGAAATTGAGGCTATTGCATACATACTTTAAAAGGGAAATTTTTTTCCCCACAAAATTTACATTGACATAGTTCAAAATGTAATGATAATAATTGAGTAAATTTTTCATAACAGAAGTCTAATAATGAGAAAAATTGAATTCTTTTTGGGGGAAGACATTTCACTTAGTTGTAGTTCAAAGTTAATGTTCTCTATCATCAAATTGTGTGTAAGTGTTAATTCATTAAATCATTCTTATTTCACAGGCAGTGAGCTGGATTTGGATCACAGGCCAAATGGTGCCAACCCCTGTTTAAGACAATGACATTTAAAAGTCATTTTTTTTCATTAGTCTTTGTTAAATGTTTTATTTGATAATAAGTTTCAGTTCTGTTTTATACTTTATTTGAACCCATGGCAACCTACAACTAGTTAAACACTCACCAAAATGCACATGTGTGGGGCGTAGGTGGTTTTATTCTCCACTCCCAATGGTATTTCGGGATATATCTGAGGTAGCAACACTATTACAGTGATCCATTTTGTCTATTTAGGTTAACAGACCAGAGAAGTGAAACAGGAAACTAGACTTGGCAGATCCAAATTTGGTCTGTTGGAGTATGTATTGGAATGACTTTGAGTATTCCTGTTGTTGACTTTGCGTTGGCTATAATTGGTTCTGTTCATTAAAGTCTGTTTCTACAAAGTTTGGGAGGTCTGTGCTTTGGTTATAGCTTTGCTGTTGCTCAGCAACATTCCAAAATGTCTTTATTCTTCCCCAACCCTCCCTCACAAACTTCATGTCTTAAAATATATTTTATCGCTTTCACATTACATTTGCTAATGGTTTTGGTGGCACTGCTACCGAGTTCCTATGGCTTTAAGAAAGAAAAGAAACAAAATGAAAAGATATGAAGATTTTAAAAGCTAATAAATAGGTCACTTCACTCACTTTAGAA